TATAATTTTTTAATAAAAAATTATAAATAAAAGTTTATCCTTTTTTGAATTCGCCATAACAGAAATCCTTATGTGTGTTTTTCTCTTTCTTCTTGGGAGTTCTTTTGACCCTCAATTTTTTTAAATGCGTAACTCTTATTTGCGGTCCCTGGTATATTTATTTTTCTCCCTCTATCTTCATTTTCCTTTTCTGTTCTTCTTTCCTCTCTCTCCCTCTCTCTCTGTCTTATATACTCTTATAAACTTCTTCCCTCTCTCTCTCCATTTCTTTTCTTTTGTTTCTCTTAGTCTGCATTTCTCTCTCATTTCAATTCCTCTATCTATTCCTTTTTAGATTTCATTTTCACGTACTTTCTCTGTCTACCTCTACCCCTACCTCTCTTCTCTCTCTTGCTCTGTTTCGTCTTTCTCTCTCTGCTTATCGCGCACTCTATCTTTTTGACACGCCATCTCTTTCTCTCTTCACGCCTCTATAGTATAGAGTGTCATCAAGTCGATCATTGCTGTTGCTGCTACCTTTATAGCTGCAATTGCAAGTAATTTGCATGGCCAATGAGTAGACAACAACAACAACAACAACAACATTACGGCAATAATATCGCATGAACATTGTCATTATTCAATCAAACGAGCTCCCCTCTCCAGCCCCTTCTCTATCACCCAATCATGCTACACCTAAACATCCCCCCACCCACACTTCTGCCTAAGTTCGCGACAAGAAACGTGTGCGAATCGCGCGCGTCTTTTGCCGCCTGCTGCTGGGCAGAGTTTTCCCGTGTGTATGTGCTGGTGCGGGTGTGGGCGTGAGCGTGGGCGGGGGTGGGGGCGGGCGTGCTATTCATTATTTTAGAGGACAATTGGCGCTAAGCTTAACGCAAATAGCAACTAATTTCACAGGTTAATGAATAATAGAGATGGCTGCGTCTGTGCTCGTGACACGATCAATACAAGCCGATACTTAGTGAGTCACCACGGTAAATACCTGGAAGCCCAAAGAAATATACATATAATATCTAATCTATACTACGTACCATGTACGTACTATCCAAGAGAACTAAAGTCAAACAAATGAATATACAAATATACATATATATAACTATAGAATGAGTAAGCAGATGAATAAGTTTTCCAGTTAGATCGGTTTAAAAGCGCACTAACTATTACAACAATATTAATTAATATGATAATAATACATTCTAAAAGTTTCAACAGTTTCTTAACTGATTCCGATTCGTTATCGATTGTCACGCGGTCATCGCTGATTGCCTATCGACGCTTATCGTTTACCAAGCACAAACACTCTTGCACACTTGCGACTTTAAGCACACACACTCATGAGCATATTTATTTATATACCACACACACACACACACGTACACACATACAAATCTTCTTTTGAGAACTTTATGATTATAATAAATTGATTTGTTTATGAATGCATGCAAATTTCTGGGGGGCACTAAATACTTTAACTCGATTGCGCCCGTTCTCTAGAAGCAATCATTTTTTACGACTTCGGCAATACGAAACGGTCCATAAATTGGCCAATTCGTCGAGGTTTATCTGGGCATTATTGTATTTACCGCCATTAAAGCTGTCAAACAGAAACTTATTTTGCCTCAGCTAAGCATATTGATATATTTGTATATTTTTTATATATATATCTACCCACATGTGGGTGTTTAGGCAGACAAATTTGTATCTTAAGTATACAAATTTATTTCGAATCTGAGCAGCTGACACCGAGCATGGATGTGTTTATATCGTTTACACTCAATTAGCTGATCATCGATTGAGAACAGATATTTTAGTTTTATGGCAATCAAAATAATTATGCATAGTTATACTCGGTATGGAAGTCTACAGGGGGTGTATTAGCTTTGTGTGATGCTTGAAATTGGAAATTGTATTTACACTCGCAGAAGATGAAGTATACATACTCCTCTACTACTTCTTCTTCTTCTTCTTCCTCCTAGTCCCCAGATCTCCACTATCTATGTATATATATGAGGTACTTATCCAGTTAAGCATTCCAAAATGAACATTCGTTCGAGTCAATCCAATGAATCTCATGGGAGCTTTGCTCTCTTCAAAGATTTGTGTTATTCTTCACTTTAGTATAATATTTTAATTTTATGTTGACATTAACTTTGCATTTTAATGAACTTTGACTATGATCTTAACATCATAACAGTAACATCTGTAGCTCTAGCACTAATAGTGCGAATGTTACATTTGACTTTAGCTTTAGCATATAACTACGCACTTGACCTTACTATTCAGTCGAAGTTTTAGTTGACTTAGCTGACTTGGACATTGAGCTTCATAACATTTCAGTTACAGATTCACATTGAGCTTTATTACATTTCAGTTACATTATTCAACCTAACTCTACCTCTAATAATAAGGTGTAATCTTTACATTAGCTGCACTTGGGCTTTCAGTTAGTTAGATTTGTCTTTAACTTTAACTTTATCTTAAAATTACATGTTAAATTACATGTTAAATTTTAACATGAGCATTGATATGAATAACTATTGTGATTGAGATTGAGGCTAAATGCTGTTAATTTCTTTAATCTATTGTTATTGAGATAAACATCTGACTATCTGCAAATGAGACGATCATAGCTTTCAGCGTTTTAGCATTGACGCAAACATTTGAGGTTAGTTTTACGCATTCCAGCTGATATGCGTCTTTCGTCGCTTATCTAACAGACATAAGCACATCCAAAGGCTATCAGAACTTACCTAGTATGCGTGTGTGTGTGTGCGTGTGTGGGTGTATGTGTGTGTGTGTGTGCGTGGGACGATAAGAAAGTCATTCATTACACAAGGAATGCGCGTATGGCGGCTCGTGCTCTCTATGGAAACTGGAAGGGGCAGAATGGAGGGGAGGACAGAAGAGATACCTGTTATCAAGACATTGGTGTTCGCTCGCTCTCTCTCTCTCTCGTTCTCTCTTGCCTCCCTCTGATAAGAGCGCTGGCGTCTTGGCATATTTCTTTTCAAACTTTCGTATTCGTTTTCTTTGAACGTAATCGTAATCAGGCATTCGAATGATTTTTACTTGCAGATTTCGCAGCGCACAAATCGCACGCCATTTTGTATTATGCTTCAGAAATATTACGAAACATTCTAGAGAGGGGCGTATTGGAGCAGCAAGAACAGCGATCATAGCAATAATCGATTAATCGATCGATCAATCAATTATCAGCACCAACAACAAGAAGAAGAATAGAGGAAAACAACAAACAGTTGTAACATAAACGGAAACGGAAACGAAAGGCAAGTTTAATTCACTACACAGCCTGAACGAGACGGAAACTGAAATATATATATAGATACATAGAGAGAGAGGGAGTCAGAGAGTGTGACAGCAAGTGAGCGAGCGAGCGAGCCACGCCCCAACATGAGCAGCATGAAGGGCGGCTTCACAACACTCAATCGCTGGTTTGGCCGCAAAAAGGGTAAGTCTCTCTGGCTAGCTAATATTCCAGTAGTACTGATCATAGCTAACTCTATCTGTCTCCCTCTTCTCTCTCTCCTCTCCTTCTTCATTTGCAGACAAATCTAGCGTGGGCAGCGCCAACGGCAAGCTGTCAAAGTCAACCACACAGCTGCACCACATGTCCACAGACCAGGGCATTCACATCAACGAGGCTAGTCAGCTGGATTACAATCGCATCACCCCTCTGCCCGCAGCCACCAGCAATGCACCGTTCGAGCAGACCTTCCGCATCACCGTGCTCCTGCCCAAAGATCAGCTCTATGTGACCCGACTGGGCGCCCGTGTGCCACTCAGCAAGCTGCTCTCCCTGGTCTGCGACAACAAACAGCTGGATCCCGATAAATATGAGTTTCGCAATCCAGGTAAGCCAGACATCAAAGCGATATATCGATCACATCCAGTAGCCTTGCCGCAACTTGTCTTGAATGAGTAAGGAGGACAGGAATAAAGGTCTGAGGAAATGTGTCGAGAGGAAATCCAGCTAGGCTTTGCTTGTGCTTATCGGATTATCGATTTATTACAGGCATTGAACTAACAAAACAAATGTAGAAAAATGAACTGTAAATTCCACCGCAAGCTGGACCTCAAATCATGATCAATGGTAAATCATCGATAAATGATGATAATTGCGATAGTCTGATAGAGTAAGAAAGTAACGGTGCACGAAGCTGAGCTCAATAGGCATATGGAACGCCCTTTGCATTGACTTCCAAGCAAATCCTTGCTTATGCCTATTCATTGATGCTATTGTACGGTATTTCATTAAGTCAGTATCTATAGGGACTCTAAAGGATCAAAACTTTTGTTTGTCTCCCTTGAAATCGTCTTTAAAAAATCTGCTTTAAAGAATTTAAAATCTTCATGCATGGGCTTAGGCCTCTGATAGTGATTTATATAGTATCGTAAATAATTTCTGTTAAACCTTTAAAAATCATATTTCAAGCGTTGCACTACCAGCACTACCTCGAGTGTATATTATGAAAATCTCGATTAGTTTTATAGAATAAGTTTGATAAACAACCGATCTTCAACTAATGAATATCTCTCTCTCTCTCTCTCTCTCTCTCTCTCTCTCTCTTCCCACAGTGGATGCTAGTCAGGTGTACAGCTGCGAGTCAAGCATCGGAGCAGTGGGTCTGTCGGAGATACGTTTGTGCCACAAGTCGGAGTCCTACGACAGCTTCAATACGGACTCCATGCTCAAGTTTCAGCGGACGGGCGGCACTCGCGATTCGCTGAGCAGCAGCTCCGAGTTCAGCAGCAGCCGGCACTCGCACTCCAAGCTGACGGCCAAGACGCCCAGTCCGTACAGCTCAAGCAACTCGCTCAACTCCATGGACTCCACGGGCATGAACTATACGCGCACACCTGTAGTGCCGCCCAAGGCGTTATCCGTAGCACCGCCGCCGCGCAAGAAGCGCGTAGCGCCACGCCCACCCAGCCAGGTGCCCATCCCGGAGCAGTCCGTAGCGCAGTTCAACGAGACGCCGACGCCGACGCCGACGTCGACACCGGCGCCAACTCCAACGGAGCCCGCCTATGCGGTAGTTGTGAAGCGTCCACAGCTGTGCATGTCCACGCCCAACCTGGCCAGCACGCCGGAGCATGTAACGGAAGCGGAGACGCAGCCGTCGTTTGAGGTGGACTGCAATGGCAACAGCGCCAAGACCTTGGATGGCGGACTCTATGCCACGCTAGAGCGCAGGCCCTACTCGCAGGCCTTGCCGGAGCCGACGCCGCGCAAACGTCTGCTGCAGCTAAAGAAGAAGACGGCGCCAGCACCGCCTCCAGAATCGCCTGGACCGGCAGCGGAAGCGGCAGCTGAGGCAGCGGCCGCGGCTGCAGACACCATATCACTGGCCTCCTCCACGACGGTGTCCATGACGGAAGTGCTGCCGGCAATACCGCAGCCAGCGCCCAGGATTACCACGCCCGTTCCCATGGCCACGTCGACAGCACCAAGAGTGCAGCAGCACCAGCAGCAGCAGCAGGAGTCGGGGGCAGTGCCTCCTGCACTGCCCACTACAGCAGCGCCCCAGATGCTGAGCAATGGCAACCAGAATGTGTCCAAGGTGCTGTTGAACCGCACGCCCACGCCGGAGCCCCGCTCGCTGGGCAGCGCCACAGAGGAGGAGGAGGACAACAACGATACGGCCTCCAAGCAGGCGGACTCCGGCATTGGCGAGCCTGTGCCCTCGCCGCTGCCCTCCAGCTCGCCCTCGCCCGAGCCGGAGGTGCAGCCCTTGGCAGATCACAAGGCGCAGCTCGAGTCCAGCTCGGAGGAGGACGACGAGGCCATCAAGGTGTATAACTTCAAGACGTCCTGCAAGAGCTCCGTCAAGGTCAAGGAACTGGTGCTGAGCGCCCAGCAGCTGGAGACGGCAGCCGATGAGCAGCCCTCGCCCCTCTCCGACACGCCCCTGGCCCAGACGCCCAGCAGCCCGAACAGCGAGCTGACTTCGCTCTCCTCCTGGAACTATGCGGGTCCCATATCGCCGCCCCCGGACTTCTCGGACAGCGCGCAGTTCGCGGACCGACAGCGGCCCAAGAGCAGCGAAGTGGTCAACGAGCTGTCCTCCATCATACAGCAGCAGCGGCTGGACACGCTCATCCGGCAGGCGCCCGAGCAGCCGCAGCAGATCGAAGCGGCCAAGCCCAATCGGCTGGCCAACTTTAGCATCGCATCAATTAGCAACGGCTCGAGCAACAAGCGCAACAGCAGCAGCAACAACAACAACAACAACAGCAGCAGCAGCAGCAGCAGTAGCTCTCCAACTATCACACGCACCGACTCCTTTCAGTCGCCCAGGCACAGCCACAACGGCTCCTCCCTGGGCATGCGCCTGCGCAGCTCCTCGCAGCTGTCGCTCAACCGGCTAGAGCTGAACGGCCTGAATGGCGGCCTGCAGCAGCGGCGCTCGTCCAGCGAGCTGAGCATTGGCGAGTCGCCTTCGCTCCAGAGCCTCGAGCTCATCAAGACCATATTGAGCAACTCGCGCAAGAACAGCCTGGCCACAGATGCCACCGACTCCACAGAGGCGCCACAATCCCAACTGGCCGAGCCTGAGAAACCAAAGAGCAGATCGACTGCGTCGCCCACAACCAAGCCGGTGCCGATGGACGTGACCACGCCTATAAGTCCACTTGAGTCCACAGTGGCGTCCACAACAATAGTAGCGCCTAAGGCCATGCCTGTCAGCACAGTCGTGTCCCACTCAAATGAGCACGCATACGTAGCTAAAGAGGCTGTGCCTGTGCCTGTGCCGGTGCCTGTTCAGACAGTCGAGCCCGCAGCTGACTCTACATGCGGATCGTTAGGCGTGGCCACTGCTGTGCCTGCACAGAAATCAACGCCTACAGCTGCAAAGTTGCCGCTGGCTCAGCCTGTGGCTGCGCCCACACCTGTTAACAAAGTGGAGTCACCTGTGTCCACATCCCTGGCCACAGCTGCAGCTCCAGCGGCGCCCATTGCAACTGCCCGCAAGGCCTCTCTGCCGGAGGCTCCAACGGCAGAGCCTGAGCCCGAGCCAGAGCCGGAGCGAGAACGTGAGCCCGTGCCTGAGGTGGCGCCAGAGCCAGCGCCCAAGCCGCTGCCACAGACGTATCGCTACTCCGGCCCGCCCAGCATCAACTTTGCCACGTGGAGCGAGCGTCCCAAGTCGCAGGTGGCTATCAAAAACGAGGGCGACTACATCTATGGCGGCGCCAAGGCGGACGCAGCAGCAAAGCCCGCCACGGCACCCGTCAAGCTGACCATTGAGGTGGCCTCGCCGATCCTGCGCATGGGCATTCCGCGCAAGGAATACCACGTGCCCATCACGGTCAAGCCGCTGCGCGACGACAGCCAGGAGCGAGAGCGCGCGTCACCCGAGCCGCAGCAGGAGAAGCCGCCCCTGCAGCAGGAGGTCATAGTCAAACCCTCCACGCTGCCACGTCCGGCGAAGAGCAATCGCTTCACGCTGCCCGCCAGCATCCAGAGCAGCATCAACAACAACAACAACAGCAGCAACTACAGCAAAAATTACAGCAACTACAACAACAACAATAACATCAGCAGCAACTACAACAACCACGGCAGCGGGACAACCAATTCATTGCCACGGCCCATTTCGACGCTGGAGAAGGCAGCGACGCCTGCAGCACCCGTGGAGTCGGTGGCAGCGCCCTTTGGCCAGAATACGCTGAGGCGCACGGGCTTCAAGGAGCGCATGCTGGCCAAGGAGCAGCAGGAGCATGAGCAGGCCCTGAGCGTGCGCGTCTCTGTGAACGGAACAACAAACGCAGCGCCAGCAGCAGCGCCAGCAGCAGCGGCAACGACAGCAGTGAAGCCAGCGACGCCGACGCCGACGGCGACGCCAACGGCAACGCCAACGTCGCCATCGATGCCAAAGCTGAGGAGCACCAAAGTGGAGCTGAAACCAGAAACAGTTGAGCCAAAGCCAGCGCCAAATGCGCTGCAAGTGAAGCTGCGCCCCATTAGCTTCATGGCCAATAAATCGACAGCCACGCCCACAAGCGCGCCTACGCCCACTGCTGCTGCTGCTGCCGCTGGCACGCCCTCGCCGCCGCCACCGCCGCCAATGCTGAGCAAGACCAAAGCGATGCCCAAACTGAAGTCAACGTCGGCGTCGCCGTCGGCTGATCCGCGGGATCAGCTGCTCGAGGCGATACGAAACTTCAAGCGCGAGGAGCTGAATCGTGCCTGAGCGAAGAAGAGGAAGCATAGAGAATACACACATAGAGAATACCGAAACGAAATGCACAAAGCGAATGGCGCAAAATGTTATCAATTTCATTTTTTTCTTTTTCTTTTTCTTTCTGTTTTCGATTTTGATTTGCAACTTTTAATTTGTTTGCTTTTATTTTAATTTATGCATTTTATGATTTTTTTGTAAATGTAAATAGTTAACAAGATTCTGCCGATCTTGTACATTGAAGTCAAAACAATATGCACTTTTTTTTCTAATATTAGTAAAAATATTTGTTGTTTGGCGCGCTTTTGAATACCAACACAAAAGTATATACATATATATATATATGAATATATAAC